GTTCGGCAGATGAGTTAAACGACTCTCAGAGTGAGCGTCAATTACCAGATTATCAGCACACACAGAGTGGTCGACCGCGAGGGAGCCATCCCTCAACCTCACCCAGGGATGAATCGCCTGACACACACACACAGCTGTACCTACGACAGATTCCCCGTAAAGCCTTCACTGACTCTACGGGGAATCTGTCTAGTCAGCGAGTAGCACCTAAGAAGGCCGGCACTGTGGCACACGAGGGGGGTGGGTGGTCAGCGCCATGCCCGACCGCCTTTGTCTTCCCAGTGACGATGTTTACACACCGCACCAGGTACTTATTTGAGGCTGAGTCGACCTAGGGGAGGCCCAGGACCGGTTCTGATAATTGTCAGTGGTGTTGGCCGTGAGCGGGAATCTAACCCGGGTTGCCAGGTTCGTAGCGCAGCGCACTAACCACTACACTACCGCTCCCCACACACACGCACACACACACGTGCACACATACGCACACGTACGTACAAACACGCACACGTACACACACGCGCATGCAGACGTACACACGCACGCACGCACCTTAGGCACGGGGATGGGGGGGGCGCTCCCCCCGTCGTGCTCTCCCCCTGCCGAGTGGCCGGACATTACGGCGGTGGCGGCGGTGGTGGCGGCGGTGGTAGCGGTGGCAGAGCTCCCGCTGGAAACGCTGACCGGGCGCGCCGGCGCTGCGTCACACACCACTAGCAGCTCCTCCTCCCCTCCTCCGTTGCCTCCGCCCAGCTGATGCTGCTGCTGATGATGGTGTTGGTGCTGCTGCTGCTGCTGATGTTGCTGATGATGTTGTTTCTGTTGCGGCGGCTGCTGTTGTTGTTGCGGTGGTTGCGACGATTCGGAAATCCTGGGGGAGACGTTGCGTTATACCGACGTCAGCAGAAACCACACGGGGGTCATCGTCGTCGTCATGTTTCAAGTTTATGCTGTGTGACAAGGCGGAGAACTCGTTTGCAAGAGTGAGCGACTGAGTGAGTGGGTGAGTCAATGAGCAATCGACTGAGTGAGTGGGTGGGTGAGTGGATGAGTGAGCGAGTCGGTGGGCGAGTGGATAGTGGGTGTATGAGTGGGTGGGTGAATGGGTGGGTGTGTGGGTGAGTGGGTGGGTGGGTGAGTGGGTGAGTAGGTGAATAGGTGAATTGGTGGGTGGGTGGGTGTGTGGGTGAGTGGGTGGGTGGCTGAGTGAGTGTGTGGGTGAGTGGGTGAGTAGGTGAATAGGTGAATGGGTGGATGTGTGGGTGAGTGGGTGGGTGGGTGAGTGAGTGTGTGGGTGAGTGGGTGAGTAGGTGAATGGGTGAATGGGTGGGTGGGTGAGTGAGTGGGTGGTTGGATGGGTGGGTGAGTGGGACTTGGATCCACCACGCGCGGCCACCTTTGTCTCCCCAGTGGCGATGTTCACACACTACAGCAGTTACTCGTTTGAGGCTGAGTCAACCTAGGGGAGGCCCAGGACCGGTTAAAATAATCGTCACCGGTGGTGGCCGTGAGCAGGAATCGAACTCGGGTCGCCGGGTTTGTAGCGCAGCGTAGCGCTAACCACTACGCTACAATGCGTTAGGCTTCCACATGCGCGGGTCATGGTGACAGATTTGACGTCACAGCTCACTTGCCGTACACAAAAATTGATGCATTATTGAGCTCCTCCCCCCCCTCCCCCTATAATGTTTGCACGGTGTACAGTCTGGAAAGTACCCACGTGGCAAATTTCCAGCTTGTTGCATGTCGGGAAGTACGCTAAACATTTTGAACAGACACACACAATCACAACTTTGCCTTTTATATATATGGAGATGATGATGCATAAGCGATAGCGTCGACAATTTACGATTGTCGACGCTACTGATGAGATCGATTGGTGCTGTGCATCACAACAACAACGATGGTTGTGGAGTGTACAACAACAAAAACAATCCTCACCTTTTGTGTTTGTCGACTTTAAACTTTAACATTATCCTCGGCCCTTCGCGTGTGGCACGACATCCAAACAAAGCAAGTTGGCGCCTCGCTTCAAACGTCCACGTGAATCGACGTCTTCATCCATCCAAAGTCATCACCTCCACCACCTCTTCTTCTTCTTCTGCACGATACCAGGACGGTGAAGTGTGGTCAAACACAATTCGGGCAAATCGCCTCGACGGGAGGCTCGGCTCGTTGGGATCGCTCGCGAAACGTCGTACTTCAGAGTTGTTGTATACGGCCCTTTTTCCACAATTAATATCCATAAGAATATTTACGGATGCATACACATAGATTTCTTTTTCCTTTCTTTCGTGACAAACAATATATATTTTTTAATAATGAATAAACCCCGTAAGCCAGAAACACGAAAAACCAGATGTCGGTCATAAACAGACCATTAAAAAATAAAGAAATAATAAACCTCTCGAGGCGAGGATGTTAGCAGCTATCTGCGAAGATCTCCAGATGAACAAGAGTTTGATGTGCCCTAAGGGAGGTCACGCAGAGGGAAGCCCTCCGCAAGCCAGAAACGAGGACGCCCACGGGTTAAACCATATATATTTTCCTCTGTCATTAAAACAACGGTTCAAAATTAAAATGCAATAACAAGAATAAGCTAAAGTTAGCGGTCCTCGCGCTCACTCCAATTAAGACCAGGCCACCAGATACATCAGTGAATTATTATCCAATAATTAATTCGCTATCAAATGATTTTCACCTTTAATACTTTTACTGTTAAAACAAAGCTTGGAGCAGGAATACCGAGTCACATCAAAGGTTATCGAGAAGGAATGAGGCGAACGGGCAAACTTACGAAAGAGTTAAACAATATCCCAAGCAAGCCCGACCACCTTTGTCTCTCCCGAAGAGTGCGAGAGAGGACTTTCACGCCAGGGCAAACAGATCGTTATCGCAGGAGCCATCTGTACACACACACACACACGAACTCACACACACAGACCCCGCCCCCCCCCCTTTTCCACTGCGCAGAGAGAATTGTCTTTGAATATAACAGTCAGCCGCATTTTCAAAAGTCAGTGAAGTTAAGTCAAGAGTCAAGACAGATCAGCGAGTCAAGACGTCCACAGGACGAGCAGTCGCATGGAGCGGCTGGCTCCGAGCCTCGCTGAGTAGCGAGGATCGCTGAGTCGCGATGTATCAACAAAAGTGAGTCATACAGCAGTGGAGGAAACCTGCTGTCAGCGAACCAGCACGGGCGCGTTCGCGCACTTCAACAGAGAGAGCACGTGCGACTCAACTCACTCAACTGAAGAAAAAGCTTGGCCAGCCGCCAACAAAGTATCAGCGAATCAGCGCTGAGAGCGCTCGAGCATCTCCACAAAGCAAGCACGTGCAACGTGGCTCAACCAGCAGCGGAAAAGCTTGGGCAGCCGCCAACAACTTCAGCAAACCAGTGACCAAGCGCGTGCGACTTGAGTCATACAGCAGTGGAGGAAACCTGCTGTCAGCGAATCAGCACGGGCGCGTTCGCGCATCTTCAAGAAGAAAGAGCGCGGCCAGCAACGCCAAGCAAGAGCGTGCAGCAGCTCAACCAGCAGTGGAGAGAAACTGCTGCCAGTGAACCGACACGGGCACGTTCGCGCACCTTCAAGGAGAAAGAGCGCAGCCAGCAACGCCAAGCAAGAGCGTGCAGCAGCTCAGCCAGCAGTGGAGAGAAACTGCTGTCAGCGAACCAGCACGGGCGCGTTCGTGCATCTTCAAGGAGAGGGAGCGCGCGCCACCAGCGTGCCACCAGCACCAGCACGTGCCAACAGCGTGCCACCAGCGTGCTACAGCGCGCAACTTCGCGTCACCAGCGCTGAGAGGGCAGTGGCCCCGCACTCAACACCCATCGGCGCGACGACGGCGAGCGTCCTGCTGACTCATCCAGCCAGCGGTGGACAGAAACTGGCAGCCGGTCGTATGCAACCCCTCCTCCACACTCTCCCCCTCACTCCCCCACCGCGCCGCAACACACAGGAAACACATTTTGGACACAAGAGATGCTAACCTCGGCGTCTGCTTTACGCAAAGAATTGAACCAGTGATAAAGAAGACACACGATACGCATATCGGGATAATCAAGAAGGGTGCCACTCCAAGGTGGTGCATTAAAAATCAATTCATAAAGGAAAATACTGCTGTCATTGAGTTGCATAATAACCAATCGTCCTGTTAACAACGTGATAAGAATTGACTTGAAGGTCTATGAATGGATGTGGTACTGTGTGGGCAATGTTTAAACACGAATTTACATATTATAAGGTTAAGGTTTTGATAGAATAGTTGCATGTTTTAATCTCTCTCTGAACAACCGATTGATTGTGTTACGCGTCGGGAATTAACCACAGGTGCCGCTATCGAGGTGAAACAACGCAATCGTGATGGTATCATGTTAACGCTGTGTTGAAATTCCAAGGTCGAGAGTTTTCATATTATCCAAAAATTAAAGTTAGCTAGAAAATAAAATTGATCAAAGCAGAAGGTTTGTGTGTGATTCTTCCTGAAATTCTGCATAATATTGTTCTGCGTATGAGATCTGAATCCTGGGGACCTATCATAAGCACACAATCACCACACATAATCCATAACACACATAATTCGTAATGTTCAATCGAGAGTAATCGTATCCTTATCGATAATACGGAATTAAAGAGCAGAGTCGAATCGACTCTCTCTCATTCACGCTCACAACGCCTGCGTCACTGCATACGATTAATTGCGTCATTCCAATTCATAACACAATCCTAGTCACCGAGGCTCGACCTGATAATCCATAACGACCTGCATTATCATAACCACGCCCACTCGCATAAATTAATACGATTATCTCTCAAATCAGCATAATGTATGCGCCTAATTACACTGATTAACATAATTTCGGATAAATTATGCAAATCTCAAATTTCATTTAATTTGCATTATTTTCATCAATTTTCATAACACCTATATATACAACATATTGGGGGCTCGTGTCCGGGATCTCTCGCAGACAGTTTATGCTTGAATTAAGGAACAAATCACTGTTGTATTAAAGATTATTTGCTCGAGTCAAACTGACCACATCCTGTGATACAAGTGTTTTTATACGTACTCTGAAGGGAATACCAGAGTCACACGAGTCGAACTGATGCATTCTGGATACAACTGTTTTGATATGCACTCTGAAGTGAAATTCCAGAGATGCTCGTATTAAGAGTAATTTTTGAGTGGATTGCGGGATATTGGGAACTTGTACCAAAAAGGTCAGGCCGATCTGCTACAGAGCAAACAAATCAGGGAGACACATGGAAGGGGAGCTGTATTGATGACATTGGGACACTGCTTAAGAACTGGATAAAATGGGAGAAAAGCGAACACGATGTAAAAACATCAGGAATAACTACGCTGAACTCAGACCCTCTCGCACAGACAGACAAACAGAGATTATGGGAGGTGGAAAATTTCGGAAAAGAAACAGGTGGGACTGATAACCCCGAAGTCAGAGTGAGACAGAATATTAAAACTAAATCACCAGGAGATTCTGTACTAATAACGCGAGAAAGGGCGGAGCCGAAGCTCCGAGGCAACTCTCCAGGAAAACGCACACCACGCACAGACGGCCGACACAAACATCGCGACAGGCACGACGCACCAGACAAATATAAATCAAACACCCCACAAAAACCACATAAGTATGAGCCATGGGACAAACATGAGTCACCGAGCAAAGTTGACCCACGTTATAGGCGCAAAATACACTACAAAAATCATGTTAAGCAACGCCACCGTGATGTTAATGACTCATCCGAATCTGACTCGGATGACGATGATCAACTTTCCGAATATTCGTTCAGTAGTAACACTCTGAAATTGATGGACAAAGCTCTCGTCAGAATTCCCTATTTTGATCCACACAATAAGAACAGGGACATTCACACTCACATCGCAACGGTAGAAGCAGAAGCAATGATCAGGGGTCTGAGGAAAACGGATGAAAAAGCGAGTTTGCTGAAACGCAGCTTGCATGGACAGTCCATATCATGGGTAAAATTGCTACCATACGAGGTTCGGAACGATTTTAAAAAGCTGAGCCTGGCAGTGATTCGGAAGTTTGGAGAATATTCAACACTGTCTGAGGGATTTAACGCTGCAAAATCTATGACCCAGTGTGCAGACGAGGATCCTCGGGATTACCTCATGCGATTTAAAATAGCGTACTATGCGGGCGATGTGGATCAGTATCACGAAGGTGACAAAAGGTTCAAAATTATGTTTTTTGGATCTTTGAGTCCAGAGATTACAGAAATTGTGGGAATGGTCTTGAATCCAGAGACAGCCTCCTTAGACCACATAGTGGATCGGGCACACATGGCTTGGCTGTACCGGGCTAAAAACAATGATTTCACAGCACACAGTGAACGGGACAAGGCAACCAGCCTATCAGAGGAAAATAAAAAACATGTGAGGCATTTGATGCACACAGGCCCACAGTGCAGAAAACAAAAAGCACCCACGGATTACCAACATAATTACATGCACGGGTGGTCAGATAACAATTACACGAGACAATGGCACGCAGACCGGGAGCGATCGCAGCGTGCAGGGACGCGTATTTGCGAGAATCGCAACGTGTGGAGACCACGAGCAAAGTCAGACCAGTGCCCAATTCCACGGCACACAGACCGAGAGCGTTCGCAGCGTGCAGAGACGCGTATTTGCGACAATCGCCACGGGTGGAAGCAAAGAGCAGGACCATATCTTCACCCAATGCAGCGGCACACAGCCGGCCAAAATTATCCACACAGATGGCGAGATAACAATTACGGTCGACAGTGGCACATAGAGAATGGGCGGCCACGACACACAAAGACACATAATCGCGAGAATCACGGCGTGTATAGGCCAAGAGCAGAATCACGCCGATTCCCCATTCCACGATACACAAGGGGCACACATGGCTTGGCTGTAACAAAGAGGGTGACATGGGCACGTGATAAATCGCTCACACTGGTTGAGAGGAAAATGACAGGGAAAGAGGTGTCCGCTGATCTGAAAAAAAAATCACAGCCCTTGGAAAAAATCAAGCAGGCTGGAGGTTACAAACAGAACCAGGAGGGGAACCATGATTGTGGAAAACTAAATGCGCCATGCACACGCTTTGATATAGTGGGGAACGCGAGAGTCGCTCCCGCGGTGAACCCACCTATTGAACAAGGAAAATTAACCATGAAGCGTGATCTAACAGGAAATGATAACCAACAGGATCAGGGGGAGAAACATGCTTGTTTGGTAAGTGGAAACGCGATCAATTGTGTCGCAAAATTGCGTGAGAGTACTGTAAAAGTGCCAGGGAAACGCGTTACGGAGACAAAAATCCATGATGGATCGGGGAATGTGTGGAAATCCAGCACACACAAAAACATGGAATCGAATCGAGGCACGGAATCGAATCGTGGTACGGAGTCAGCAAATCTGCACATGGCTGCGGAGAAGGCAAATGACTTCAACAGTCAAGCACGGAAACTCGTGTTGTGTACTAATCCTGGTGGCGCTCGACATGGCTTCACGCCACATAAACCCACAGGGAAGGCGAGGGATAAAAAAAATTACCGATACGAACCAAGGAACCGTGCTCATTTGGCTAAAGCCATACCGACGATGAACCAAAACGACGATGTGATGATGTTGCATGGAAAGGTCACAGGTTACTCTAAAATACCTGGTCATGAGAAAAATTATTCTGCACTCTTGACCAAAGGTGGCAGTAAGGTTGCCAATAACTTGGTAAACATTAAACAAAGAGATGCCAGGAGGGAAACGGTGTACCACCGGGCTCGAAACCGCTATCCAGTGTTTCCCAGGAACTGAAACAAAAATCAAAAAGCAATAATTGATAAGACCCGATGTAACATGTTGCCTTAATTTTTCTCTTTTTCCTGTTCTTTTATTTTCTTATTTCAAATGTAATCATGCTAAGTTGTGACACGTACGCGCGCGTTGTAAGGAAAAATCACAAACTTGAAGACAATCGATAGTTCATGGTGGAAAAAGGCATTTTTCTTTAATATTAAAAATAACCGGTGGCAGACCACCGATCATTTTTAAAAGGGCGGAATGTTGTATACGGCCCTTTTTCCACAATTAATATCCATAAGAATATTTACGGATGCATACACATAGATTTATTTTTCCTTTCTTTCGTGACAAACAATATATATTTTTTAATAATGAATAAAACCCGTAAGCCAGAAACACGAAAAACCAGATGTCGGTCATAAACAGACCATTAAAAAATAAAGAAATAATAAAACTCTCGAGGCGAGGATGTTAGCAGCTATCTGCGAAGATCTCCAGATGAACAAGAGTTTGATGTGCCCTAAGGGAGGTCACGCAGAGGGAAGCCCTCCGCAAGCCAGAAACGAGGACGCCCACGGGTTAAACCATATATATATTTTCCTCTGTCATTAAAACAACGGTTCAAAATTAAAATGCAATAACAAGAATAGGCTAAAGTTAGCGGTCCTCGCGCTCACTCCAATTAAGACCAGGCCACCAGATACATCAGTGAATTATTATCCAATAATTAATTCGCTATCAAATGATTTTCACCTTTAATACTTTTACTGTTAAAACAAAGCTTGGAGCAGGAATACCGAGTCACATCAAAGGTTATCGAGAAGGAATGAGGCGAACGGGCAAACTTACGAAAGAGTTAAACAATATCCCAAGCAAGCCCGACCACCTTTGTCTCTCCCGAAGAGTGCGAGAGAGGAATTTCACGCCAGGGCAAACAGATCGTTATCGCAGGAGCCATCTGTACACACACACACGAACTCACACACACAGACCCCGCCCCCCCCCTTTTCCACTGCGCAGAGAGAATTGTCTTTGAATATAACAGTCAGCCGCATTTTCAAAAGTCAGTGAAGTTAAGTCAAGAGTCAAGACAGATCAGCGAGTCAAGACGTCCACAGGACGAGCAGTCGCATGGAGCGGCTGGCTCCGAGCCTCGCTGAGTAGCGAGGATCGCTGAGTCGCGATGTATCAACAAAAGTGAGTCATACAGCAGTGGAGGAAACCTGCTGTCAGCGAACCAGCACGGGCGCGTTCGCGCACTTCAACAGAGAGAGCACGTGCGACTCAACTCACTCAACTGAAGAAAAAGCTTGGCCAGCCGCCAACAAAGTATCAGCGAATCAGCGCTGAGAGCGCTCGAGCATCTCCACAAAGCAAGCACGTGCAACGTGGCTCAACCAGCAGCGGAAAAGCTTGGGCAGCCGCCAACAACTTCAGCAAACCAGTGACCAAGCGCGTGCGACTTGAGTCATACAGCAGTGGAGGAAACCTGCTGTCAGCGAATCAGCACGGGCGCGTTCGCGCATCTTCAAGAAGAAAGAGCGCGGCCAGCAACGCCAAGCAAGAGCGTGCAGCAGCTCAACCAGCAGTGGAGAGAAACTGCTGCCAGCGAACCGGCACGGGCACGTTCGCGCACCTTCAAGGAGAAAGAGCGCGGCCAGCAACGCCAAGCAAGAGCGTGCAGCAGCTCAGCCAGCAGTGGAGAGAAACTGCTGTCAGCGAACCAGCACGGGCGCGTTCGTGCATCTTCAAGGAGAGGGAGCGCGCGCCACCAGCGTGCCACCAGCACCAGCGCGTGCCAACAGCGTGCCACCAGCGTGCTACAGCGCGCAACTTCGCGTCACCAGCACTGAGAGGGCAGCGGCCCCGCACTCAACACCCATCGGCGCGACGACGGCGAGCGTCGTGCTGACTCATCCAGCCAGCGGTGGACAGAAACTGGCAGCCGGTCGTATGCAACCCCTCCTCCACACTCTCCCCCTCACTCCCCCACCGCGCCGCAACACACAGGAAACACATTTTGGACACAAGAGATGCTAACCTCGGCGTCTGCTTTACGCAAAGAATTGAACCAGTGATAAAGAAGACACACGATACGCATATCGGGATAATCAAGAAGGGTGCCACTCCAAGGTGGTGCATTAAAAATCAATTCATAAAGGAAAATACTGCTGTCATTTAGTTGCATAATAACCAATCGTCCTGTTAACAACGTGATAAGAATTGACTTGAAGGTCTATGAATGGATGTGGTACTGTGTGGGCAATGTTTAAACACGAATTTACATATTATAAGGTTAAGGTTTTGATAGAATAGTTGCATGTTTTAATCTCTCTCTGAACAACCGATTGATTGTGTTACGCGTCGGGAATTAACCACAGGTGCCGCTATCGAGGTGAAACAACGCAATCGTGATGGTATCATGTTAACGCTGTGTTGAAATTCCAAGGTCGAGAGTTTTCATATTATCCAAAAATTAAAGTTAGCTAGAAAATAAAATTGATCAAAGCAGAAGGTTTGTGTGTGATTCTTCCTGAAATTCTGCATAATATTGTTCTGCGTATGAGATCTGAATCCTGGGGACCTATCATAAGCACACAATCACCACACATAATCCATAACACACATAATTCGTAATGTTCAATCGAGAGTAATCGTATCCTTATCGATAATACGGAATTAAAGAGCAGAGTCGAATCGACTCTCTCTCATTCACGCTCACAACGCCTGCGTCACTGCATACGATTAATTGCGTCATTCCAATTCATAACACAATCCTAGTCACCGAGGCTCGACCTGATAATCCATAACGACCTGCATTATCATAACCACGCCCACTCGCATAAATTAATACGATTATCTCTCGAATCAGCATAATTTATGCGCCTAATTACACTGATTAACATAATTTCGGATAAATTATGCAAATCTCAAATTTCATTTAATTTGCATTATTTTCATCAATTTTCATAACACCTATATATACAACAGAGTGTAAGCGAACGCCGTGGCTCTCGCTCTCCTCGTTCTGTTGACGCTCCGTCCCCTAAACCCCTCACGACTCCGCTGTGTCGGGTGGCGGCGGATTTCACGACACACAGCCACCACACACAAGCAAACTACTTGTCAGAGGCCTCTCTTATCCAGCAGTGGATATGGCAAACAGCTCGCGCTCTGAAACGCGTCTTCGCAGCTGCTGCAGGGTCCCCCTCCGAAACGTTGATCTCCTTGTCAGCCTCCCATCACCACTGTTGGTAAATCTCTCTGCAAATGTCGTCAGGTCTTGACGTTCGTCGTCTTCGTCGAATCGTCGTCTTCGTCAGCGCGGTCTTCTTGCAGGACTTGTAAACACATGGCCCACATCCACACCCACATTGCGATACACAGTACACACATATACACACCCTCGTGTGTGTGTTGTGTACACGACGTGTGTGTACACGTGTGTGTGTTGATAGGTGTGTGTTGTGTACACGTGTGTATGTGGGTGTGTATACACCACGTGTGTACACGACGTGTGTGTGTACACGTGTGTGTGTACACGTGTGTGTTGTGTACACGACCTGTGTGTGTGTGTGTTGATAGGTGTGTGTACACGTGTGTGTGTACGTGTGTACACGACGTGTGTGTGTACACGTGTGTGTGTACACGTGTGTATACAGTACTGTATATAGGTGTCTGTGTGTATAGGTGTGTACACGTGCGTATTAGTGTGTGCACGCATGTATTAGTGTGTGTACACGCCTGAGTGTGTACACGCGCGTATTAGTGTGTGCACGTGTGTGTGTGCGTGTACACGACTATACAAGCACGCACACACACACACACGTGGGTCGGTGGTGGGGGTGGGTAGGTGGGTGGGTGGTGGGGGTGGGTGGGGGGGCCACTCCGCCTACCACGCGCTTCATAGACGCCGCGCACTCACACACGCTGACCAACCCACCCACCCCCACCCACCACCACCTAGCCACAACCAACCCACCTACCCACCCCCACCACCTACCCATCTACCCACCCCCACCACCCACCCACCTACCCACCCCCACTACCTACCCACCTACCCACCCCCACCACCTACCCACCTACCCACCCCCACCACCGACCCACTACACAGCACCCACCCACCCACCTACCCACCCCCACCACCGACGCACCCCCACCACCTACCCACCCACCCCCACCACCGACCCACCTACCCACCCCCACCACCTACCCACCACCCACCCACCTACCCATCCCACTACCGACCCACATACCCACCCCCACCACCGACCCACCCACCTACCCACCACCTACCCACCCACCTACCCACCCCCACCACCCACCCACCTACCCACCCCCACCCCATAGTCTTCGCTGTTACTAACTGCTTCACCACGCTGTCGCTTAACAACGCGCACTGCTACTTAAGTGGCTGTACAAAGCTACAACACCGTGCTGCTTTGTACACCATGCAGCCCCGAAACACCGCGCACTCAGAGAGGATGACCACCCCAGTCCTCGCGATGCAGAGTCTCACGATCTGTATGTAGACTGCAGGAGGAGGAATCCGAGGAGCTATGAAGCGCTTTTCCACACACGTCCAGTAGGGGGGTCACAGGGGTCAGTAAGCGACCACAAACTTCAGCAAACTGATAACCGCGCTCTTACCAAAAGGCTCCACAAACGCCGCGCACTCGCTAAAGCTTTCGTGACTGCAGTAATTCATATTCTTAGTTTTTTCGGTAAAGTCACGTTGAAGAGAAACAACAAAATAACAAAATATATATCAAACAATAAAAAATTCTCACGACGTTTCGACCATAACTCAAACGGTCATCATCAGGTGTGTTGGTTTGCTTAAATTTATTTTTAAACGGCACATTTATTTATTTATAAAAAAACGTTGGCGTCACGCGCAGCGATTTGGCAGTTTGCCCAGGACTAGTCCATCTATTTTTTTTTGAAAAGAGGAAGGGGGAGACGAAATTTTTTATAATGTATGCTGTCTGAAAGCCACTGTAAGCGTGAACAATCAATTAAGAACTGAAATGGTTTATCAAATCTTTCCAATGATTGCTAAGATAGAATCCATCTTCTCGGTTGAAATTGTCTCTGTGCTTGTATATGTGGATAGCCTCATGAACGAATCTCTCATGGAAGCCAGATGGCTTAGAAAGAACCTCCGTCTTGGAAAAGTCAATGGCATGTGAGCCTACTGAATTAGAACAATGATCTGCTACGGCCGAGGTGTTGGTCCTACCGTGTTTAAGGTCTGCTTTATGTTCACGAATGCGGTCCGAGACATGGCGTTTGGTTTCTCCAATGTAACTACTACCACAGAGGCAACTTAGTTTGTAGACACCAGGGTATTGTATGTCCGGAATCACATCTTTTACAGACGGAACCAGATCACGGATTTTATGTAATGTGTTGAAACGGACCTGGATCTTGTGTTTATTCAAGATTTTGGAGATCTTTTTTTTTTTGTGATCCCAGCAATGTAGGGTAAAGTGATGGTTTTGAAAGGCTCCTCAAGAGGGTTCTTCTTCATGGTTTGAGTGATAGCTTTGCGGATTGTATAGTCGGAGTAACCATTAGCCCTAAGAGCTTGGTGTACGTGCTTGAGTTCACTGCTTATGTGTTCCTGGTCGGATATGCATTGGGCTCTATGATACAGAGTCTTGATGAGAGAATTCTTCTGTGATGGATGGTGGTGGGAATCCGGTTTCAGATGAGCATCCGTATGGGTAGCTTTCCTGTAGACAGAGTGGCTCATTGAACCATCAGGTCTCTTTTTAATTAGAACATCCAAAAAAGGTATCTTGCCATCTATTTCGACTTCCATGGTAAATCTGATGGCTGGGTGTATGGAATTGATGTGGTCGAAGAATTGGTCTAGAGCAGGCCGGCCATGTGGCCAGATGACAAAAGTGTCATCCACGTACCTCTTCCATAAGGTTGGGCGCAGAGTGGCAGTCTGGATGGCGTCAGTCTCAAATTTCTCCATGAAAATGTTAGCTATAACTGGAGAGAGGGGGGAGCCCATTGGGGTGCCCTCAGTTTGTTTGTAGAAAGTTCCATTCCAAGTGAAGTATGTATTGGTTAAACAGTGTCTCACCAGGGGGGGTACCTCAGTGTTTAGTCCTTGATGAACCAAGTCTTCAATGATTGCAATGGTGTCAGGTACAGGAACCTTGGTGAATAAGGAAACTACATCAAAACTGACAAGCAGGTCGTCTGGGGACAGGGAAATACCCTTGATTGTCGATACCAGGTGAGTAGAATTTTGTACTGCAGAGGTGGTCTTTCCAGTGAAAGGACGCAGGATTTCAGACAAAAAACGAGCTAGTTTGTAGGTGGGGGAGCTGATAGTAGAGACTATGGGACGAAGAGGTGTATCAACTTTATGTATTTTTGGTAAGCCGTATAATCTTGGTGGCCTGGCAGCAGAAGGTTTCAACGAAAACTGTTTAGATTGATCAATTAATGCGGTTGAATCAGAAATTATTTTGTTGGTTTGTGTGACGAGGCTGTTGGTGGGATCTCTTTTTATTTTTGTATAACTACCATCGTCGAGTAATTCTTTAATTTTGTTGTTGTATTCTATTTTATCCATGATGACAGTAGCATTGCCTTTGTCAGCTGAGAGGACTACAATATCATTCCTCTTTTTTAATTTATATATGAGCGTTTTGAATTATATAAATTAAAAAAGAGGAATGATATTGTAGTCCTCTCAGCTGACAAAGGCAATGCTACTGTCATCATGGATAAAATCGAATACAACAACAAAATTAAAGAATTACTCGACGATGGTAGTTATACAAAAATAAAAAGAGATCCCACCAACAGCCTCGTCACACAAACCAACAAAATAATTTCTGATTCAACCGCATTAATTGATCAATCTAAACAGTTTTCGTTGAAACCTTCTGCTGCCAGGCCACCAAGATTATACGGCTTACCAAAAATACATAAAGTTGATACACCTCTTCGTCCCATAGTCTCTACTATCAGCTCCCCCACCTACAAACTAGCTCGTTTTTTGTCTGAAATCCTGCGTCCTTTCACTGGAAAGACCACCTCTGCAGTACAAAATTCTACTCACCTGGTATCGACAATCAAGGGTATTTCCCTGTCCCCAGACGACCTGCTTGTCAGTTTTGATGTAGTTTCCTTATTCACCAAGGTTCCTGTACCTGACACCATTGCAATCATTGAAGACTTGGTTCATCAAGGACTAAACACTGAGGTACCCCCCCTGGTGAGACACTGTTTAACCAATACATACTTCACTTGGAATGGAACTTTCTACAAACAAACTGAGGGCACCCCAATGGGCTCCCCCCTCTCTCCAGTTATAGCTAACATTTTCATGGAGAAATTTGAGACTGACGCCATCCAGACTGCCACTCTGCGCCCAACCTTATGGAAGAGGTACGTGGATGACACTTTTGTCATCTGGCCACATGGCCGGCCTGCTCTAGACCAATTCTTCGACCACATCAATTCCATACACCCAGCCATCAGATTTACCATGGAAGTCGAAATAGATGGCAAGATACCTTTTTTGGATGTCCTAATTAAAAAGAGACCTGATGGTTCAATGAGCCACTCTGTCTACAGGAAAGCTACCCATACGGATGCTTATCTGAAACCGGATTCCCACCACCATCCATCACAGAAGAATTCTCTCATCAAGACTCTGTATCATAGAGCCCAATGCATATCCGACCAGGAACACATAAGCAGTGAACTCAAGCACGTACACCAAGCTCTTAGGGCTAATGGTTACTCCGACTATACAATCCGCAAAGCTATCACTCAAACCATGAAGAAGAACCCTCTTGAGGAGCCTTTCAAAACCATCACTTTACCCTACATTGCTGGGATCACAAAAAAAAAAGATCTCCAAAATCTTGAATAAACACAAGATCCAGGTCCGTTTCAACACATTACATAAAATCCGTGATCTGGTTCCGTCTGTAAAAGATGTGATTCCGGACATACAATACCCTGGTGTCTACAAACTAAGTTGCCTCTGGTAGTAGTTACATTGGAGAAACCAAACGCCATGTCTCGGACCGCATTCGTGAACATAAAGCAGACCTTAAACACGGTAGGACCAACACCTCGGCCGTAGCAGATCATTGTTCTAATTCAGTAGGCTCACATGCCATTGACTTTTCCAAGACGGAGGTTCTTTGTAAGCCATCTGGCTTCCATGAGAGATTCGTTCATGAGGCTATCCACATATACAAGCACAGAGACAATTTCAACCGAGAAGATGGATTCTATCTTAGCAATCATTGGAAAGATTTGATAAACCATTTCAGTTCTTAATTGATTGTTCACGCTTACAGTGGCTTTCAGACAGCATACATTATAAAAAATTTCGTCTCCCCCTTCCTCTTTTCAAAAAAAAATAGATGGACTAGTCATGGGCAAACTGCCAAATCGCTGCGCGTGACGCCAACGTTTTTTATAAATAAATAAATGTGCCGTTTAAAAATAAATTTATGCAAACCAACACACCTGATGATGACCGTTTGAGTTATGGTCGAAACGTCGTGAGAATTTTTATTGTTTTATATATATTTTGTTATTTTGTTGTTTCTCTTCAACGTGACTTTACCGAAAAAACTAAGAATATAAAAAGAAAATGTTTATTGCCCAGAGCATCATCCTCTGCATAGACGAAGCACACCTCTCACCCTCTCCCCCAAACGCTCCCGAAGCAACACGAAAATTCCCACTTGCCGCCATCAGCTCTGGAATTCCCTCCCGTCCCCTCTTCTCCTCATCCCCACAAGTTCTTGATGACAACGACCTCGGCTCAATTCAAGACACATCGAACCCTAACTACATTCTAACTACATTTTGACATTTGCCGTTAGTTGCTGACCGCTCGTTTGACTTTTGTGCCTATGCTCAGCAACTGTTTAACAACAAAGTACCCGAAACTAACTCCTACGTATACACACACGTGTACACACACACACGTGTACACACACACACGTGTACACACACACACACGTGTACACACACACAGGTGTACACACACACACGTGTACACACACGCGTGTATACACACACGCGTGTACACACACACACGTGTACACACACGCACGCGTGTACACACACACGTGTACACACACGCGCGTGTACACACACACACGTGTACACACACACGTGTACACACACAGGTGTACACACACACGTGTAAACATACACGCGTGTACACACGCACGCGTGTACACACACACGCGTGTACACACGCGTGTACACGCACAGGTGTACACACACACGTGTAAACATACACGCATGTACACACGCACGCGTGTACACACACACGTGTACACACACACGCGTGTACACACACGTGTACACGCACACACGTAGACACACACGTAGACACACAACAACCGCCATTCGCCACTAAGTGGCAGTGACGTCACCACGACGCTTGTGCCAGGTCATGTGCACCTTGAGGCTGCAGTCACGGGAAGTGGGAAGGACGTCTTGGACGAGTGTGATCCTTCTACAGATGTCTCTGCATTTTTCGAAGCGATTTTTTTCTTCGGATATCTCGGGATTTTGTTTGACTCTCCAGATTTCTCAGGAGTTTCGCAGACTGTATCCAAGACATTTCAGATATAGTCTCTAGATTTCCCAATATTTTTTTTTTACCAAAGCTCTCCGATTTCCTGCAGATTTCTCTTTGCCGTACTATCTCCAGATTTCTCGATTAACAAACAAAAAAATATTCTCAAGAATTGCCAGTTACTTTTGCATCCAGATTTCACACATTTTCGAAAGTTAATCCACAGCTGAAAAAAAACATGTAGCAGGACCGCTTAGTAAACGTCACAACATTTATGCTCTCGTGGGGGCTGACGCCCCGCTCCCCGTGAGAGGGCGGGATGCCCCCCCCCCCCAGCTGCTAAGCCCTTGTGTCAACACGGCGACCGCTGCCTTGAGTGGTTATTTATTAACTCGCTGGCAGCCGCAGAAACTCCGCAGCTGTACGGATACTCATTAGTTTGCGCTCTCGGGATAACCACCCAGTTTCAGTTTCATTTATTTGGTGTATAGCCCTGTGAGCCATTCGGCTCTTGAATTGGGTGCAACCGCAACAAACAAAAAACAAAAACGCGAACAAGAAAACATCTTAAAGTGACTTTGTGACTTTGTGCAAACAGAAAATCCAGGGAAAAAAATCCTGAAAAAGCACCGTACACCAACGCTGTGTGCAAAAATCCCATCAGTCTAACTCCGTACTACAACAAACATGGCCAAACCAAACCAAACCCACTAATTTATATCACCCACACACGGCAATGTGCCAATCGCTGTTCCACCACTCTTCACACACACACGCACAACGCGTCGACCATCAATCTTGTACCAAGGTTTTATTCCCGGCGTGAATAGTGAACCCCTGTTTATGCCCCCCCCAGCGAACACTCCACGGATCTCGCCTAGCCTCTTATTTCCCACCCTTCGCGATGTGCGACTATTCTCAGGCCAGGGCTAACGGCTAACAGGGCTGATTTGAAGCAATTGGCGGGACCCCGGGGGTCTCATCACTGCCCCGGGGTGGGAAAAACCGCGTAGCGACACGAGTCTTGCCTTACCGACAACAAAACTAGTGGTCAATCGATTGGCCTCGTTGAGAGCTACTCGGGGCACTAAGTTTCGTAAAAGTTGAAAAATTACATAAACACGTTAAATTCACTGCGGGCGCGGGCTCGCCTTGGCATAGAAGCTGAGGATCGATGGCTGACCGGAGGGCGGACTGAAAAATAATAATTATTGACCTGATTTTTTCGGGACCCCGGAGTCACGCCAAATGATGAAATTGACCAACTGAACGATCACTCACCTCGCACGGTGGAAGTTGGGGAGGACACTGGGCAGCGAAGACTCTGCCTGGGCGATGGTTCGCAGCTGCACCCAACGGGCGTCAGGCGGATGCTGAGGGCGGCTGGGATTCAGCGCGGCTCCAGGTGAACTCTGAACTCAATTTGCTCTCTCCCTCCCCTCTTATCTTCTCAAAGCCCGTTAATCCCCGGGGGACATGATGTCATCTTCCGTGTCCAATCGAGTTATTTTTACATGTCCCACCCATCACTACCTCCTCCTACCAACCCCCCAGTTGCTAAACCTCGATCCTCCACTCTGCTCACAGACATACACACATTCTTTGTGCTTTCAAGACAAAATACCAAGATCCCCCGTGTAGCCTGCAACAGACTGCCGGGGCAAGTGCTGTTAGAGAGCACCTATGAAGTTCGGCACGGCACACGATCCGGTTGGGTGGCCAACACCACGCCCAGCCGCCTTTGTCTCCCCAGTGGTGATGTTTACGACACACCGCACCAGGTACTCATTTGAGGCTGAGTCTATCTAAGGGAGGACCCAGGATCGGTGCAGATAATTCGTCACTGATGTTGGCGGAATCGAACTCCGGTTGCCTGGGATCGTGGCTAAGTTCGCTAACCACTGCGCCATCACTCCCCCACATGTAGATAGACAAAGGTCCCCCGTGTAACATGTAACAGACTGTAGGGGCAAATGCTGTTAGCGAGTAGCAGCAGCAATGTCTATGAAGGAGACAAAGATCCCCCGTGTAGGGGGGTAGGTGGACAGCCTTTGTTTCACACGCACACACACACTACCACTCTGTAACGTTTGACGGTTTGAACATTTGACTCCGCTTTTAATGCTCCTATTATTCTTCACAGAGTCTTTGAAGAAGAGCACACGCGTGTGTGGGTGTCTGTGCGTGTATCTGTGTGTGTGTCTGTCTGTGTGGGTGTCTGTGTGTGCCCTGTGTGTGTGTGTGTGCGTGTGTGTCTGTGTGTGGGGAGCGATAGTGTAGCGGTTAGCACGCTGCGCTATGAACCTGGCGACCCGGGTTCGATTCCCGCTCACGGCCAACACCAGTGACGATTATCTGAACCGGTCCCGGGCCTCCCCTAGGTCGACTCAGCCTCAAATGAGTACCTGGTGCGGTGTGTAAACATCGCCAGTAGGGAGACAAAGGCGGTCGGGCGTGGTGCTGGCCACCCACCCCCTCGTGTACCGTTCCGGCCTTCATAGGTGCTTCTCGCTAACAGCACTTGCCCCTACAGTCTGTTACAGGCTATATGGGGGATTTTTGTCTTTGTCTGTGTGTGTGTGGGGGGGGCCTTAGAAGAGCCACACCCTGTTGTTTGGCAGTCTGCTGCCCTGAGTAGAGAACTGTCCACCCCTCATGGTGGCAGGAGCCAGAACCGGTCCACCGGACCTCCTGAATGCCACAGAGATCCAGGTGGTACCGGTTCAGCTCCCGAAAGAGGAGTGGCAGCTCTTCTCCGCAGTGAGTGTTCGAACATTCCACGTGGCCATCCATAGTGGCTTTTCCTTGTTTCTGGAGGAGCCCCGAGGGTAGAGATTCAATCTACTGGCTCCGCCAATTGGGGTTTGGCCAGGAGATGTCATAGACGCCTGTCCCCCCAGGGCCTCCGGCACAAGCTTATTAGTTACATATTTCAGTTTAACTCGTGGTTTAGTGGTAATTAATTGAAGGTGGAGGGGTTACCAGCCCCTCGCACCCGTCCAGAGCCCCCATTTAGCCACTGTGCTGGACACAGACGCCATGAGGGGAGGAGCCAATCGGAATTGGCCCTCCCCCCACAGCACTGTCCATGACAGAGTTGCCCGTCCGGCACCGCGAGGAGGTAGGGGGCGTGGGAGCGTGGCGGTAAGGTGTGGGAAGCTGTAAGCCCCAGGCTACTTTGGGCTCGCCTTCCCATCAACCGGAGGTGAGGAGTGGTGGTCGTGGTTACTTATGCCCCCACCGAAGACGAACATCCGTGGAGGGATGCAGGCAAAGCCGATGAGTCAGATGCCTTCTATGACCTCCTGTCACAGGTGCTGGCTAAAGCGGCACCTCGGGATAGAGTCATCATGTTGGGTGACTTCAATGCCCGAGTTGGCCATGATGCTGGCACCTGGTCTGGAGTGATTGGAGGGCATGGGCCAGATCAGCTCAATAACAACGGTAGGAGGCTGCTAGACTTTTGTGCAGCCCATGGGCTTGTAATTACCAACACGCTGTTCCGGCATCGGCGCATCCACACAACGTCATGGATGCATGCCGGGTCCAAGCAAGAACATCTGCTGGACTACATAGTGATGGACCAGCGGATGCGAGCCCATGTCCTTGACACCAGGACCGACCGTGGAGCTGATCTGCCCTCTGACCATCGACTAGTCATCTGTAAGATGCGCCTACCATTCTTCAACTCCGGTGGTGGGTGTACACCCAGGACCCCATTCCAATCTAAAGTGGCCTGGTCTCAGTTATCTGATGAAAGTTGCAAGCGAGAATTTCATCATCGCGTGTGGCTGGGATTGGCATTGTCCCCGAGTCTTCCTGATGTCGAGGGTAAATGGGCAACGTTTAGGACTGTGACTCATGCAGCTGCAATGGCTGCTTTGGGTACGCGGTCCAGACCTCCCCAGAAACCCTGGCTGACAGAGGAGGTGTTCAGGATGGTTGAGAAACAGCGACAAGCCCACTGTTATTGGCAACAGAATTCCACGTCAGAGAATGAGGAGGCTTACCGCAGCCTTCGCTCGGAGGTTCGGAGAGCCGTGAGGCGCTGCAAGGATGGGTGGTGGTCGCGGGTTGCTGAGGAGATGGAGTCTGCCTCAGTGGCCCGCGATCACAAATCTCTATTTAACTCCATCAAAAAAGTAACCTGCAGCGCCACACCTATTACCATCATTAGGGGAAAAAAACGGTGATCCCATCTCCGACCCCCAGGAACAGGTTTGCATATTTTCTGAGCATTTCTGTGAGGTCCTGGGGGAGGGAAAATGTGGGGGCTACCGTCCCCGCCATCACTGAATTGTCGGGGCCGTTGCCCACCGACTCCCCCGTTCCACTCATACCGCTACCCCCCGGCTGCTCTGTCAGGTCCAGACTACCGACCCCTAATGCCTCGCCCCCCTGTACCTCTGCCTGGGATGTCGACCGCGTTTGCATAGGTTAATTAGCGGCTCGTACGCTTTACGCTCGCGATGCGCTACCCTGTTCAACGGCGGTCTGTCGCAGTGAGCGCGCTCGCAAAGTAAAACCCCGTCCTGCACGGGAATAACAGGCGCGGCGCGCCCCCGTGGGATTCCCTCCCACCCACGCTCCACACGCTTAAGCAAAAACAAACACGCCGCGATTACTTTGCTCCGATTTAACGGGCTGTTTACACAGTTGCGTATTCGCGCACGCCAAGCGTTAATTCGCTATTAGACAATCGCGCGAGTGCGCGCCCGCCACCCCGTCACACAGGCGCGCGAGCGCAAAGCGCTACTGTAGGCTATTCCGCAGGTACGCGAGCGCTGGGCACCACCGAAAATATTCGCGTAGGTACGCGCGCGCTGAACAATACTGTAAACGATCGTACAGGTACGGACACTAAGCACGTTCTACTCCCTTATTCGCTGCAAACAGCCGCGTATGCGCGCGAACACAAAACACTCTGTACACACTCGTACCGGTATGCGAACACCAAACACTCCGTCTCCCTCCTCACACTCACAGTGACCACGACACAGCTTTATCCTATTAGTGGTTTTATTCCCCGCGAGTATCGAACTAGACTGTGTGTGTCAGTACGGACCAGCAGGACAGGTCTAACCTATCTCGCTACTGCCTGATACTTAATGGACCTGTCTGCCCTCTATTTTCTCTCCGAATTTCGTCCCTTTGTCTTACCTGTCTCCCTCGTACTTACGGTCCGACCTCGCAGCGATGGAGGTCGCGGATAGATGATGCTGTAAACAGAATCTGGCTGTTCTCTGCCCCGTCTCACGGACGTGCGAGTAACAGTCAGGTGACGGCTCCCCGATCCCTCCCTCCTGTTGATCTCCAGTCAAATAAAAAAATGGCCCCTTGCTTCCCCAAAGCGTCCCTTTTTATGCTCCTTTCAAAGCCCCCGCACCGCCCATCCGCGGTGCATCACGGGTCAGGCCATTAATCCGCGGTGCATCATGGGTAGGGCCGTTAATCCGTGGTGCATCATGGGTAGGGCCGTTAATCTGTGGTGCATCATGGGTAGGGGCGTTAATTCGCGGTGCATCACGGGTCAGGCCGTTAATCCGCGGTGCATCATGGGTAGGGCTGTTAATCCGTGGTGCATCATGGGTAGGGCCGTTAATCCGCGGTGCATCATGGGTAGAGATGCTAGCCCGCGGTGCACCATGGGTAGAGACGCTTAACCCATGCTGCCCCGCTCCCCACCTGTCTGCTGGTCCGTGTGTGTCTTGGGCATCTCCTCACTGCGGTTCTCAGTGGGTTCGCCGTGGTCATTTAATTCTAAGTTAAGCCACGGCGCCGCAGTGCCATTTGGCCTGGGGGGGGGGTCGGGGTGCCTGCCAATTCCCCGACCCTGAGAAACCGTGGAGCACCCCCACGAGGGGGCCTCTCGGGTAAAAACTCAGGGCAGGTGCCCCCCTCCCCTCCCCATGAGGCCCTACTTGAGTGTGTGTGCCTGTAGGTGGGGGGGGGGGGGGGCGGGGGAAGTGCTCTGATGGGAGCCGGGTGGCTTCTCGGTCGCAGCAGCACAGCGACGGCCCCGGTTTCGACGGAGCGGCTTCGCTGTTGTGGCACTACAAAAATCCCTCAGCCAGGAAAACATCGTGGCACAAAGTGAGGATGACCCTACTGAGGCTGCGGTAGCTCAAATATTGGAAGAAGTCACCTCTGTGAGTGGCTGGCTGAGGTGCCATCTGTTGAGGAAGTACTGAAGGCGATCTGGAGTCTGAGACCAGGAAAGACAGCGGGCAGAGATGATCTCCCAAGCGAAATGCTGAAGGAGAGTGGCGTTTGTGCATAGACTGCCCTATATGACATCATAACAACAGTCTGGACCACTGGACGGGTTCCACAGGATTGGAAGGGTGGCCGGGTGGTCCCCCTCTTTAAGAAGGGGGACCACACAGACTGTAACAACTACAGGGGCATCTCACTCCTCAGTGTGCCGGGAAAGGTCCTGGCAAGGATTATTCAACATCGCCTTGCCATGCACGCTGAGGAGAGACTTGCGGAGCCCCAATGCGGTTTCAGGAAAGGGCAGTCCTACAAAGATGCCATATTTTCTGTCCGTCTGCTTCAGCAGAGGTGTAGGGAATTCCAGCAAGACCTATATCTCTGCTTTATTGACCTGGTCAAGGCCTATGATACCATCAGTAGGCCTGGGCTCTGGGTCGTTCTTCGTGCTTTTGGAGTACCTGACCCTCTGCTCACGATCATTAAGGACCTTCATGATGGTGAGCGGGCCCGGGTAAAACTAGGAGGTCGGGAGTCAGAGCCATCCCCTGTACACCTTGGGGTGTGACAGAGATGTCCTCTGGCTCCCACATTATTTAACATCTATTTTGACCACGTAGTTTGTGAAGCCTTCAATAGCTGTACCGGGGGAATCTCCATATGGTACAGATATAATGGGAGGCTGATCGATGCCCGGGTGCTGTCAAGGGATAGCTCCCTATTGGTCAACCACGTTATGTATGCCGATGATTTGGTAATAGCCGCTCATTCAGAGGAGGAGTTGGAGACACTGCTGCTGAGACTGGAGCGTGCCACTCAGAGGTGGGGCCTTACCATCAGCCCCACCAAAACTAAGCACCTGCCTGGGTATTTTGTACCATCGGACACTCCACCCCCACAACTCCCAATTGGTGATGGGGCAGTTGTGGAGAGAGTGGAGAGTTTCCCATACCTGGGCAGTGTGCTTATGACCGGCTGCAGTTTAACAGCAAAGGTCTCACTCCGAATCAGTCGAGCGGCAATATCTTTTCATCGGTTGCATAACGCTGTGTGGAAGCTACCTGGTCTGTCGCTCCGCACTAAGCTTCAGGTCTTCTCGGCCACGGTCATTCCCTCCCTTCTCTACGCTTGCGAAACGTGGACCCCCCTAATGGAACATCTTCGCCAGTTAGAAACATTTAGGCTGGCCTGCCTACGATCCATCCTCGGTTTAACCAGGCTGGATTGTGTGAGGAGCTCACAAATCCTTGAAAGATCTGAGCACAGTCCCATCGGTGAGCTCCTCCGGCAGGCAAGGCTGCGTTGGCTGGGTCATGTAGCCCGCATTCCCAGCCACCGCATGCCGAAACAGCTTTTGTTCGGCTGGATCAAGGGGGCTAAACGGGTGCAGGACGGGCTAGAGAAGAGATGGCGTGATGTGGTACAGGAGGACGTGGAGCTGAGTGGACGTGCCGATGACTGGTACCAGCGGTGTCAAGATTGGCCTCTGTGGAGGAGGCTCGTGAAGGATGCTACTGGGCAGTTGGAGGCAGTCGCCCTCCAACAACAACGGAGGGCGGAGGAGCGACGCTCACAACAACGAGTGGAGCCCCGGGTGACTAAGGCACAGCAGGTTGGCACAGTAGGGGGCAAAGGTGGTGCATCAGCCAGTCATCTCAGTCAGTCGATCCGTGGCACCTGGGTCTGCCCGGTAACCTCCTGCCAGCAGGCGTTCGACACTTCACGTGGCCTCAAGGTGCACATGGCCTGGCACAAGCGTCGTGGTGATGTCACCGCCACTTAGTGGCGAATGGCGGTTGTTGTGGGGCATTACCATCAACCCCACCAAAACGAAGCACCTGCCTGGGTATTTTGTACCATCGGGCACTCCACCCCCACAACTCCCAATCGGTGATGCGGCAGTTGTGGAGAGAGTGGAGAGTTTTCCATACCTGGGCAGTGTGCTCATGACCGGCTCCAGTTTAACAGCAGAGATCTCATTCCGAATCAGTCCGGCACAACACTGTGTGGAAACTACCTGGTCTGTCGCTCCGCACAAAGCTTCTGGTCTTCTCGGCCACGGTCATTCCCTGCCTTCTCTACGCTTGCGAAACGTGGACCCCTCTAATGGAACATCGTCGCCAGTTAGAAACATTTAGGTTTGCCTGCCTACGATCCATCCTGTGTTTAACCAGGCTGGATTGTGTGAGGAGCTCACAAATATCCGAAAGATCTGGACAAGGTCCCATCTGTGAGCTCCTCCGGCAGGTAAGGCTGTGTTGGCTGGGTCATGAAGACCGCATGCCCAGCCACCGCATGCCTAAACAGCTTTTGTTCGGCCGGATCGAGGGGGCTAAATGGGCGCGGCACGGGCTAGAGAAGAGATGGAGTGATGTCGTACAGGAGGACGTGGAGCTGAGTGGACTTGCCGATGACTGGTACCAGCGGTGTCAAGATCGGCCTCTGTGGAGGAGGCTCGTGAAGGACGCTACTGGGCAGTTGGAGGCAGTCGCCCTCCAACAACAATGGAGGGCGGAGGAGCGACGCTCACAACAACGAGCGGAGCGCCTGGTGGCTAAAGCACAGCAGGTTGGCACAGTAGGGGGCACAGGTGGTGCATCAGCCAGTCATCTCAGTCATCTTAGTCAGTCGACCCGTGGCACTTTGGGTCTGCCCTGTGACCTCCTGCCAGTGGGCGTTCGACACTTCACGTGGCCTCAAGGTGCACATTGCCTGGCACAAGCGTCGTGGTGACGTCACCACCACTTAGTGACGAATGGCGGTTGTTGTTGTGTCTTTGTGTAGTGTTTCGTTGTGTGTGTGGTGTGCAAGTCTGTGTGTGTGGTGTGTGTTGTATGTGTGGTGTGTGTGGTGTGTGTGACTTTGTGTGTTATGTGACTTTGTCTGTGTGTGGTGTGTGTGGTGTGTGACTGTGTGTGTGTGACTCTGTGTGTGTGTTGTGTGACTGTGTCTGTGGTATGTGATTGTGTTTGTGTCTGTGTGTGGTGTGTGTGGTGTGTGTCTGTGTGTGTGACTGTGTGTGTGTGTGTGGTGTGTGTGTGTGGTGTGTGTGACTCTGTGTGTGTGTGGTGTGTGTGTGTGGTGTGTGTGACTCTGTGTGTGTGGTGTGTGTGGTGTGTGTGACTCTGTGTGTGTGTGTGAGACTTGTGGTGCCGCCGCAGCGGAGCCACTCCGTCGGGGCCGTGCTCACCGCCGTGATGCCGCCACCGGAGAGTGACGACGCCGACGCTGCGCGCCCCTCGCCGCCCCCCACATGAACGCACGCATACCCCACATAGAGCCGGGAGGGAAGGTCACCTGGCCGATGGGTTTTCGTCCAGAAGCCCCTACTGAGATCAAGCTTCATGGTTTCCCACGGCCGGGGAATTGGGCGACCTACCCCTAAGGCTAATGGGCACTGCGGCGCCGTGACCTTGGATTGTAATGGCATGGTCATGGCAGGGGCTGTTGAGCCACCGCGGATGGAAGCGCGCACACACAACACGAGTCAGTGGGCGGGTAGCGGAAAGCGGACGTCGAGGGAACCACTGCGGTGACGTCACCAGAGC